CTCTCTGCTGGCTGCTCTCTGAGCGCTTGCCCGTGTGGGCTGTTTATAACAAAAAAAATATAGCCATCAGGCTCAAAATGCAAATGTGCGATTGTCATTTACGAGTCTTGTGCACATATTCAGCCTATTTCTGAACACGACGGGTATATTTCAAATTTCGTTGAAGTATTCGTTTAAGGCCACGGTCCCACTGAATGTGGCAGTTTAGGTACTTTTTGACAGGCCATGACTCATCTCCTTTTAAATACTGTTTTGTGGGATTGATGTTATTCGAAAGGCAATGCAATACTCTTTCATTTGATATTATGTATGTGTTGGTTTTTACTGTTCATGCGCGTTTGTAGCGTTGCGAATATGATGGCGCGGACCCTCACTTGCTCCGCTAGTTCATGTTTTATGAACGGTCCATTAAAGATAACACGGTTCCAATATAGCAGTTTTGTTAAGATGATGTCGGAGCAGAATCTAACGATACACTTTTTTGATATTTGCACTACTTTGTTTTCTTCATCCCTCCAAATATTGCCCTAAAATTGACATTTTTCAGCACAAATATGTTTTTAATGACAAGTGCTAGGGCAATGAAAGTAGCTACAGATGTAGTGCTTATAATTGGTAATATGCAGAAAAAAATTTAATGTTGTGTAAAATTTTTTTGTTTAGATATTTTATATCAAACGTATCACTTTTTTGTGCTTCGAGTCATGGTAGTTCAAATGCCACTGAAGAAATAATTAAACTATGATAAAAAAATTTATAACATTTAGAGCTACAATGGTTGCCCAAGAGGTGGACGATGGCTTTTTTTCATTTTCAAAGTCATAACGCTCCAGGAGCCCTTCAAACTTACCTGTTTTTGACGCATATCTGTTTTGGACATCAAATAGATTTATTGGCATTTAATAACATTTATTGTCTGGAATAGATATACATTGCGATGTATTAAATTTTCACAATGATCTTGATTTGGTTTCTTAATAGGTGTAGAGCTTAGCTAATTTTAAAAACAATTAAAAACTGTTTGGGTGTTTTGTTGCGCTACCTGGCGGATGGCAGACAAACTGCTGATTTCTAGTGTTCAAAAAATTTCCGAGGGCGGCGTTGGCATCTGTATCATCATCAGTCTCCGTGTCTTTTTACCTTCACATTTAAAAATATATTGGAAGATTTACTATCGATAAATGAATGGTTTAACTATTGGGTCAGGCTAATAAATATAAGACGAATAATTACACAAGCGTAGCGTGATATAATGCGTTCATTATTCGATATGATTGAAATCAATAAACAATAAAGACGAAGAAGAAAATAATACACCCGAGTTTACTTTATGCCTAGAGTCACTACATAAGCTTTAAAGTATCGGCACTCAGTTCCCCAAAATTGGTTTGGGCGCCGCCATTTTGGGTCTTGCTCAGAGCAAACGCAACTGCCGATCATCATGATCCAAAAGTACGACTTCCTCAGCATTAGATGCGGTGCTAGGAAGCTGATGCAATATTGAAATGCTCTGTCGCGGGTTGTTTAAACATTTGTGAGGGACAGAAAAGCGTTTCCTGTGATTTTAGATAAAGCTCCATATAACTGGCAACCATGATTTTAAGCCACAATTTTAAGCCAAGAGTCGTTACTCGGATCCGCAGCTAATTTACTGGCACAAGCGGGAGCAATGAAGAAGAGGCAGGTGTCAAAAGGTAGTGGCTTGTGGAATCCACGGGGCTTACGTCATGGCCCCTCCAGGTATTACAAGCCTCTTGAACAAGAGCATGAATAGTGTCATTAAATAAGCTACGCTTCAGAGTAGCGACACTTGGCCCTATTGTGGCTTAAAATCATGGTTGCCAGTTATTTGAAGCTTTATCTGAAATCACAAGAAACGCTATTCCGTCCTCCACTTTAAACAGTTTTCGACAAAGCAAAGCAACATTACATGAGCTTCCTAACACCGAATCTAATGCTGAGGACGTCGCACTTTTGAATCATGACGATCGGCAGTTGCGCCTGCTCTGCACAAGCAACAAAATGGCGGCGTTCACAACACTGTCGGGGAAGAGAGTGCCGATACTCTAAGTGCAGCTCATTTATTGGCTCTAGTTCCCGCGAAACTTTTTTTCCCTGACTGAAACTGAAAGTAAATATGAATAATACACCTTCATTATAGCTTATTTAGTTATAACAAAATACACATAATGAGAGGAGGAAGCGGGCGGCTAGGAGAAACACGGGTTTTATGTGCGACCGTTCTAACCGCCTCAAAAGAAAGAACGCACGAGCTTGCGCTGGTTTAAAAAAAAAAAAAAAAAGCACCAAAAGAAAAGATGCGGCACGCTGTGCTCTTTGCTATTATGCGTCTAATTGCAAATTGTTCTGTGTATGTTTATACAGCCGGAAGTTAGTCTGCCTTAGTGGGCGTCTGGTGTCTCAGCTGTAGATGAACAATTTAGCCAGTGCGGTAGAGCCGCAAACCTGGGGTCTTTAACGTGCACCACGCAGTAGTGATACACGACCGCACGCCGGTACGATGCTCTTCCAGATCGAAACGGGCAGGGGCGGGGTGGGTTCTGCAGCGCGAGCTTTCGCTCCAAGTGCTCCGAGCTGGTGTGCGCTAGATCATGCACTCGGCCACCTCCCCCCCCCCTCCCCCCCTTTTTGTGCGTCTAATTTATATACAGGTATAAGTATTTGAAGATCGACGATGGATGTCGATCGTCTCGAGGTAATGTAACGTAATAACAACGTATAAATAATAAACTTGTTGAAGGCCTGAACGACTAAATTTTTCAATTCTTGGATTGTAATATGGCGGTGCCTATTGTACTTACTGTTGATGAAGAGCAATATGAGGTGACGAGGTAATTATTAATTGATGAGGCTCCATAAGGACGACGACATTAGTGGGTGTCGAACCACAACGTACAGTGCCAGACTTGTTTCAAGTATCGTGTACCCAAAGACTCTTCACCCGCAACAGTATAAGGTAGAATCATTGAGGATGCTGCTTTAGAACTGTACGTTGAACAGGAAAACTGCACTGTGCAGAAGTGCGGCTTATTCGTTAATATGAGGGACGGATTTCTAGCAGCATTCCCTGATTGACTACTTGGAACAAATGGCCTCGTTGACGTAAAGTGTCCCCGTTCCAAAAGATTCTTGAAGCATACCTAAACCGCAAAGGAGTATGAGGCGAAAAATAAGAAAAAGGAGCCTGGTGTGAAAGGTCCATATCGCCACTATAGCTTCTACTATCTAATACAAGGGCAGTTAAACAATACACAAAGAGAGTTTTGTGATTTAGTTATATTTACACTGAAGGTCATTGATATCCAACGTATTCAGAGAGATGACACCTCCTGGTCAACCAACATAGAGCCTTTTCTACTCAAGTTTTACATGGAAGGCCCCACTTCCGCTGAAATTCCTCACGTAGACGAGTTGTCCGACCGATTAAACTGTCATCACTCTCTATCTGGGAATCTCTCGATCTTCGTTCGTAGGCTACAGTAATATGAGATCGAGGGGTGGTGCTCTTCGTCCGCCGAATATTGCTTCGGCGGGGTTTTTTTCGTGTAAGATGAGACCGCCGCGTGCTGCCGGAACAAGAACCTGGCGATTCTTCACTGAACTGCTTCTTCCGTAAGCTTCAAAAGGGCTTTTTTTCGTTTCGCACATCATCTGCTCTGCTTGCCCGTTAGTTGCAGGATAGTATGGTGCACTAATGTGATGCCTCATGCCGGTTCTTTTTTCTTCAAAAACTTGTTTATTTTATTTGAAGCAAAATTTTGCGCGTTATTAGAGAAAAGTATTTTCGGTAAGGCAAAAGTAGGTAAAAGAGACCATAGAACGTCAATGACGTGTTTGGACGTCGTGGCGGGCATCGTGTAAACTTCCAGCCACTTAGAGCACGCATCGCCCATGACTCCGTAGATGGATACGTTTCGCCACCCACCGACTGAATAGTGGATCGTTTTCAGTTACTGTACATGATGGCGTTGGATTCAAGGAAGACTTCGAGTCTTTCCACAAAGTTAGCCCAGGTGCCAGGACTTTTGTCGAAAGCGGCAAGTGTTCGGAACGTCGACAACGTTGGTAGCCACGTGTTGTGCTTGACACTGGACACTTACCATTCGCTGAGCAGAAACTTGCTTGTTCGTCTGCCATGAGTCGTCCGATATCAGGTCATCACCGCAACACCATCTCCTGACAAAACTGGTCTTCATTGTCCGCATGTCCATAGTTAGCAATCACGTCAACTTATAAATTCCCGAACGCTCATAACTTGCCGTCGCTAAACGCCGTTCATTCATAGCGTCTTCATTGCAAATAAACGTCTTCCTATTTCTTCTGATGGTTTTCCTAAGGTGTACTTACAACATTATGTGTGTCGGTACTTCCGAAAATATCAACTGCGTTTGTTTTCCGGGAACTATAATGTAACAACCTTTACAACATCTTCCGGACCCCGTGAAACACAATATTTCGTGACGTTATTTTAGTCGTCATTAAAATGGTGAGGTAAGTACCGTAAATCGCGAAGCAGTTTACTTGACGTCCGCTTCCAATGGTTGAGTCTACTGAGCGTGCATTCCTGCAGAGGAAATTTTCATTGATAGAATATTGACACGTCAATCAACATTTGATTCCTTCTTGGTAAGATTTATTGCGAAAGCCCGTTACAACCGCCGAACCGTATGTCCCTATATCAGAGAACAATTTATACCCAGCCTGACATTCTCGCATACATCCGTTTGCTGGGCCACGCTACTTGAGCTAGCTGAGCACAGCTGGCAGCGGCGCGAGCAAGGCCACGAGGGGAACGTGATGGTGCTCGAGCCATCCCTCTGTGAACCAATGTTTCGGCCACCCCACGGGTGCGTGTCGCCATCTATTGGTTGAACTAACGCCTTGTTCAAGATGGCTGCCGTGGGACCGCAGCCTTAAAGCGAACAGCATTAATACCATAAATTTCCTTCTCTGAATGTGTAGGTGACCGCGGCTATGCAATGGAGCCTTTGCTCATCACGCCTGTCCCTGGATTCCACGCGACCTCCACCGCTTGCGGTCGGTTTAATAAGGCACGTTCTTCGATGAGGTCCGTTGTGGAGCGCTGCATTGGGCTGTTGAAAAGCAGATTCCGCTGTCTGCAAAGGCACCGGACTCTGTATTATCCTCCAACAACAGCCACCGTCATTATATCGGCGTGTGCAGTGCTCCACAATATCTGCCTCTCATCAGAGGAGCCAGAACCGGAGCCAGACTCTGACCCTGACGAGCCAGGGTTGGAGTCTGGGCCGAGCTCGGACGGTTCTGAGTCGAGCTCGGAGGGGTCAGCGGCGGATGACGAGAGGCTGGCTCCTGCCCACCATCTGGTCAGCCTCTCGGACAGGGGGAGGGCTCTGAGGCAGCGCCTTGTTGCCCAGTTCCAAACCCACCACAGCCGTGCCTCCCCGGAGCCCCACGCAAGCCATAGTGGCAGTCCCGCCCACCAGGGACACCACCAGCGCCAAGGAGTCCGTCATTTCAACGGAGGTTCCGCCCATCAGGGACACCATCAGCGACAGGGAGCCCCTCATCGTCCTCGCCACGGTGGCATTGCCGCACACCACGGACGCCACCGGCGGCAGCGAACCCCTCGTCGTCCTCACCTCGACTGACGCCCTCGCCACCAGAGAAGCCCTCCCCGTGGTAGTATGTAGTTCACTTGTTGCTCCACAGTCATGGCCGTCCATAAGCTCCACAGTGTCAACTCCAACGCCTTGCGCAGTTCGTCGCAACACATCGTGCTACCTTTACGGACATGTAGTACTGCCTCCGAAAAGCTATTCGGTGCATCACGGTGATGTTGGAAGAGCTTTTTTTTTTTTTTAATTTGCAAGCAGGGTGCATAAAATGCGTTGAACAATAACGGAATGTTTAGTAGGGTTATGTAGCTAGCCAACGGGCCATCTGGCTCGCCCTTGCAGGAAACTGAGAACTCAGAGGCTACTGGTGACACCCATTTTTCCATTTTTACTGCAATATATTGTTTGTATCGGGTTTGTACATTGATTCATTTTCTCTACACTTCCATTGCCCTATCGACTTTGCATCAAGATTTGTGGTTCCAGCAGCAGTCACGTCGACATCTACGAAGGAGGTCATCGCTCACCTCCTCCGGGTGTTCCACCGCTACGGAGCGCCCGACCACTGCCTCACAGACCACGGACGCGCGTTCGAGTCGCACGAGTTTCTACGCTTCATGCGACTCCACGGCATCACCATTCACCATTCCGTGGCTCACTGCGCAGCCAGTAACGGCTTGGTTGAGCGTAGCAACGGCACGCTCGTGGACGTCCCTCGTAAGCTCTGCAAGTCGGATCCCAAGACTTGGGATACACGCCTTAAGGAGGCAGCCTTCGTCGTCAACACAACCTACAACGCATCGTCACGATTTTCGCCCTTCGCGTTGCTCCACGGCTACGTCCCGAAAATTCCTCATCAAAAAGATCAGCCCAAAAACACGGAAACCATGCACGAGCGCTTGCTCAGATTATAGGCCGACCGAACAGACGCACTTCAGCGGAGTGAAGACGCCCAACTTTCACGTAAAGCCATTTACGATCGTTCCCACAGGAAGGGTAGAGACTTTGAGCCTGGAAACATCGTATGGATTCGCCGCCAGAAACCCGTGCCCGACGGAATGGAAAAGCTGTCCCCCCGGTTTAGGGGCCTCTGCGAAACCGTAGGGAAGCCCACGCCTGTGACATTCCGCGTTCGACAACTGCCCGCCTTCGGTAACACATATTCCGCCAAAGAACGCACGGTTCACTGCTCACAGGGGAAGAAGTATTCGCCACCATACGCAGATCCAACTCTCACAGACCCCCAAGTCGGTGATGTATTAGCGCCATCGCCAACCCCCTTCCTGACCCGACACAACAGGAGCCAGAACTCCCAACACCCGCGCCTTGCCCGGACATCAACAACTTACAAGACCATCCATCAAGCTGCGAAACACCCGCCGCTGAGTCACCGCGCCCCACATTCCACCGACCCCGCCAAGCACGCACTCTGCCCTTGTGCCTTCAAGATTTTGATATATCCATAGAGTAGCTTCGCCATTTCGCTTGCCATTAGTTGCTTTACAACCTTATAGCAACGTTTCTATATAAGAATTCCTAAATCGCTGCGCCTTTCGCTTTGCGCCCTTTGTTTTATTTTCATAGCCACGCGGACGTGGCCAATAAAAGTGGGGTGGAATGTGAGCATATGTTAACCGTAGCCATCTTTTGTACTTCCATCCCCTCTGCCGCCCCCGCTTCGTTCTTTCCTTCCAAATTGCTCCCCGCAGCCAGAGTCCCCTAGAGCCAACAAGCCCTCGCCGCTCAAACCGACCGTCCATTATTCTCGCCCTCAGCTCTACCTGTCGTCCAAATATAAACACCAGCCAAGTCGACTCTGCTCGCAAGCCCCGGCAACCGACTTCTTCGCCGCAGCTGTAACCTTACCCTTACCCCTCACCTCATAAACTAGCCTCGCCCACGCCCTGCCCGCTGCCATCGCCTCTTCGCCTGGAGATACTCCAAGCCCGCGTTCTTCTCTTCCAGTTGCTTCCGCCCGTCCCACTGACTCAGACATACCTTCCTTTTCCGTAATAAACAGTTATTTTCACCTTTAAACTTGCTCTTTCTTCCTGAGGCCTACCACCGGAACTCACAATGCCTATAGATTCGAGACGTTAGTACAAGGCGACGCAGGAATTTAATACAAGAGCTACGTAAGCGTTCATTTATAATTCAGGCCCAGTCAGTCTGTTGCCGGAACATAACCGGCTCTAAAGCCCCTTAATGTATCACATTTTATCACCGCGCCAATCCAGTAAGGTAAAGGGTACATTCTCTACTGGTCTTGACTAGCGAAAGTGATGCTGACCGGCAAAATACTACAGACTGCACTCGATTACTGCTATCAGTACGGTGAAAGGTAGACTGCTACTGGAGCCACCAGGTGGCGCTAAATTTCGCACAGGGTATATTAAAAAAAAATAATCACATTGGGCAATTTAATTTAGGTCAAACAACAAAAAAGTGGGAGAGGAAAAGCGGTCACTCACCTCACCGAAGTACGAAGACGTGAGTACACAACTGGGAAAATATGACAGTATTCAATAATGGCAGTACCTGCTATTGGTTTCAGTTGTAAACACGAACCCGCAACTACGTGCTCCGAACCGCACACTTAGCAAAAACTTACCAAATGTTTGGGGAAGAAGGAAAAAATGCACACACTCACACACATGGGCGCCAAGTTTTAGTTGTCACTGAGGCTGCCTCTACCTTGTTGTGGTATGCACATTTTGGGCTTTCTTTGCCCGAAGAACGTTTTCCGCTCTTTTCGTGCAAGCAAGAACACGCTTTCTCGGGACGATGGATGCCTCTGCATTGTGTACTCTTTTTAATAACATTTTTTTTTTTTACGAGATTGAACGCTCTAACGCAGGGGTCTCGAAGCCTTTTGGCTATGTGGTCGGAATGAGGATGTCTCGCAATCTCGGCGGCCGGGAAAAAAACGAGACAATATAAATGAAAATAAATCAATAGGCATTCATATACGAAAAATTAAGCTAGAGTAAACTGTCAAAAAAAATGTAAGGTGGATGAAAGCATATATTCTATTTTAAGTGCAATAGGCTGCTAATTATGACATTAAAAATAATTGTGACCCACAGAATTCACGAGGCATAAATCAAAGCGCATATAATTTGTCCCATTCACAAAGGGGAGAAGGCTAATGAGAGTGGTAGACCAAGTGACAGTAACCACGAGTTATCACACAAAAGGTAGAATATACATTAGAACGGAAATGAATTGTATCACAGTTACACAGATAAGAACACGAAACTACAAATAGTAATGCTGGCGTTAATGTACAGAATGCATGATATTGCGAGAGAACCCGCGCTTGGATGCAGTTTTTGTTTTAATTCGTTCTGATGTCTTCTTAATGCGCTCTTGGAGGGCGCCGCGGGGCCTTTCACGCGCGTTTATCTTTTGCCTTTCAGCAGCGGGCCGCGGTCCGGGCATCGCCGGAGGCACCGTGGCCATCCGCGGGCAGGCAGGAACACCGCCGTGTGCCGGATGTAGCCCGCGGGCCTAGGTTTAGGTAGCCCTGTATTCATACTATCGATCTTACAACGCCGCTATAATGCGCCGCCTCTCGCATTCACGCAACCGCATCACGGTACAATTGTTGTAGCAATCCACACACAAAACAGAAAATTTCGAGCCGCCTAACCGATTGAGCCGTTTAAAGGCAACGCCAAGCGCAGCCGAATGTGTTCAGCGGCCTAGTTCCGAATCCAGAGAAATGCGCACGAAGCGCGTGTGCTGTTTTCCAGCTGCATGCTCGTAAGTTAAAAGTCTGGCGCTTTGCAGGTATACAGTGCTGTATATGCATGTAACTGCCCAGTCAGAATATTTTCAGGTCTGCGTCGGTTTTGTGAACCCAAATATCTAGCCGAAATCCGGGCAATGTTCACTGCTTGACTTGGTGAGTGTGAGTCCCACATATGCTATCGGATTATTGGGGATACTTAAAGGGCCGGGCTACCATATTAGAAAAGGATGGCTAGTTGTGCTAGTTCGTTTTGCATTATGGTGTGATACGCGAAAACAACACGGATGAAAACGAAGCGATACAGCGCGTCCTGCCTAGTTCTCCCTTCGTTTTCGTCCGTGTTGGTTTATCGTATTCAACCATGAGATTAGTGAGTTCTTGAAGCCACCGTGGGGTCCCCCGAGCAGCTTGACGGGTCGCACTGCGCATGCGCACAACTTATGCGCATGTGCAGTAAGACTTCCCGAGCTGCTCGGGGAGCCCGAAGCGTTGGAGCTCCGTACCCTCAAACTTTCTGGTCAGTTGTGAGGTTTCTCACTTTATACAAGCTTACTGGCACCATGGGGGCTCAAGTATAAGCTAACTCAACTTTCTGACGGCACGCAACTGTGGTGGCGCTGCTATCGGCGTTGTCCATGTAAAGACGCTTTACCTCGTGTGAATCTTGTTTTTGCGCAGCATACCTTGGCAAACTAACTCATGAACTCGCTCACTCACACTCACCACGTAATTGTGAACAGCAGTGAGCGAATTCATGAAGATTGAAGAAATCAGGCTGTGATGGTGGGGGACTGCATGAGAGTGATGAGATGAAGATGATGAGAAAAGAAAGAAACTGCATTTGTTTGTTTTCTCATCTAAATTACTGAACAAAAACTACTTTCATAAATATTTGAAACGATTCGCGCCATTGATATTTTGTATCTTGAATTTAAAAGAGAAAAAGTTTTTAGTGGCTTTGATTGGTCTTAGGGCAGGAGTTTACCGGGACCGACGACGTCACGAACTCGTCACATGCCGCGCGCGTTCGGTACCACGGGGCGACCCCGTAAAAGGACGAGGTTTCCACGCCGTGTCCGCTGGGTTGGCGCGTTCTTTGCTCGCTTTAGGAATCGACGAGCACGTGAGGGCTGAGTTGTGAAGATCGCATGCTGAGCAGTGCGATCTTCACAGCCCAGCATTTTCTAAAAGGAAGAGCTCCTGGCCGGTGCGATCCTCAGGATCGGTGCGTTTGGCGAGTGCTTTGCTCACTTTTCGAAACAACAAAAAAATCCTAGCA